ACCCAAAATGAGTTTCCTTAGCAGGAAACCAGGACTTGTACAATTGGCCGTAGTTTGAGGGGAGATGTAGAGGTAGAGAAAGAGGAATGAACATAAAAAGCAGGATTTACTGACCAACAGACAAACTACTGTAACTCGAGGAGGAGGAAAAATGCACTTTCAATAGTTTGTCCATATTTTTAGCCACAAAAGATACTTGTAACTATTTTTTTTTTCCCCAAGACAACTCTTAAGAGGAACACCCATCCCATAAATGGCTAATCCTCCTTTTGACCTCATCCTGTATTTTCCACATTGGCTTAAGTCCATTTTCAGCTGCCATACTTAATTTTGAAAACTGCTAGTTTTAACAATGTTTAAGAAAAGAAAAAAAAATAAAAACTGACTCTGACACTTTTTTAAACAGGGTGGACTTAATTGAAGTGTGCAGTATTGAACTACTGCTGCAGTAGCTGCCTCTAGTTGTTGAAATAAACTGTAGACAAGTTTTCTGTCTATTAATCCAGATAATCTGGGTTCACTAAAGCGTCTGTGAGAGTGTTCCTCCCATCTGGTATGAATGTGCGTGTGCATGTGTTCCATGAACAGACAGAGAACCAAATGTTCTAGGTACTTGTCATGTTTTATTGCATACTTTAAGTTGTGTGTATGTGAAGTGTCCTTTGACCAGAAGGTTTTGGTTAATATCAGTATATTTTTATAAATTTGAAATTCATTGTGCCCCATCTTTTTTCTTAAACAGTTTTTTTTTTTCATTGTTAGGGTATATGTGCTAGATTTGAATCTAACATTTTTAGGCACAGATGGAAAAAGTTATTGGCTCCTTGAAAACTTATGGGACAAAATGGATCCTCAAAGCATGTATGTACTTACAAACCAAGCTGTAGAGATCAAGAAAAGAACTTTATTGTCGATCTCAAGATTTCTAAATTGTCAAGATTTATATGGAGTTGTGGTGGAACTAGTTAACACTTAGAGCTTTTGGTATGTAATGACTATTTGCTATGGACTGATATTAAATGTTTCAAAGGATTGCGTTCTTAAACTTTCTGGATTTTTGTTACTCTCCTCGGATTATATTAAGTAGTTAAAAATTTCTTTGCTATATTACATTAAAAACATAAGAACTTTGGGTCTCGTATTTATTTTCACTTGTTTTACTAATTATTTACAGAACACCGTTTTAACTTTTTTATTTTATAAATGTGTAGTATTTTAAACATATCTTTAAAAATTGTTCAATTGGAACTACATTAACTTCTGATTTGTTTTTATTAGGATTTTTAAAAACAAAAAGACGGACACTTTTTCCATGTTGGTGCACAGCACTTAACAGAGATGTTTGTATTCCCTTTCTTTCAATTCAATAAACAGAATAAATAACTGGAATGAATAGTTCTTAGTTTCCCTAACTTCACTTACCTGACTGACTTGAATGTTAATTTCTTGATCATTAATTATAGATTTCTTCCATATTTGTAGTATTTTATTTCCTTGCTAGGAAAATTAATTTGTGGCAGTTTAGCTGAAGATGAATTCACTTGGTGTTGTGTGGAGGCTTTACAGTTCTTGATGTTTAGCTCTAATCTACCTCACACTTGTGTTCTCACTGTACATTTAGCGCTCTACTTGCCTGTGTCCCATCCTGTGTTTATCTAACTTGTGGAATGTCTGGCTCCTTCAAGGCTCCATGAAAGCCTCGATTCCTTAATGCTGGAGCTTGCTTAAATACCAGACACTGGTTGCTTTATGTAATCAGTCGGTTTTGTGGGGTTGTTTGATATTTCATATTAAGAAGGTGCTCCTAAAGTATTTACAATCTCTTGCTTAGATTTCTCTTAAACTGGAGATCAGGAACCTCCAGACTTCTATCTGAAGCTGATCTAAGTGGCTTCTCTGCTGACAGGTCTTGAATACTTCTCAACTGTTGCTTTTGTTCCCTCCAGCAAATTCTTGTCCCTCTTCCATGTGCCTTAAAACAGAACCTCACCTTTGTCCTGCATTTTAGGCATTTGTATTCAACTCTAACTAATGCTCTGTTTAAATAAAGAGCTGTGCCTAAATTTGCCCCTCAAACCTTCTGCTGAAATACATTCAATTTTTTAATTCTTTTAGCTTCTGTATTGATTGGAAAAAGTCCTTAACTCCCTCTAGGAGCACCTCTGTATTAACCTTCCTCCTTCCCTTACCCTTTGAGCAGTGTTTACATCATCATGCCTTAAATGCAGGTGTCAACAGAAGAGGCATGCTTCATCCCTTTCTATGGGCTCCTCTGTGCTGCTTCCCTTGGGTACTAGTATTTGCAGGAGGGTTGTTAGATTGCAGACCTGCTTCAGCCATGAATTATCAGCACAGCAGATGAAGGAAGGTTTGGGGTTTTTTTTGCTGGGTTTGTTACTGTGTTTCATCTGCTGTCCTATGTCTGCCTTTGGTGAGAAGACGGCAAGAGAAACAGGTCTTGGGGTTCTATAGAACCGTGTGTGTGTGTGTGTGTGTGTATATATGTAAGAGTTAAAATGAGTGGTAATTTTTATTTGTTTTACATACTTCAGATTATTTAAAATAAATTACATGAAGGATGTGATGGTAGGTGAGCATTTCATAATATTTTGTTTAAATACAAACTCTGCCAGAGGTAGGGTACTTCTCCAGAGGGCCAGTTCCTGTTTTACTCTTACTTTACACCTTGGCTTACGCTTTCTGTGCTGCCTGATGCATCCCTCCGCTACTCTGCATGTGTTGCACATGCTTAGGCCATCTACTCGCTACAGAAAGGTGGCAGTCCTGGTTGTCTCCTCACTTTAAAAGGCCTGTGATGCTCTGAAGAGTAACCACTGATGTCCATGCCTCTAACGTTTCTGCCAAAGATAAGGCGGTTAACGTACTGATAACTGCATGGTGGTCAATATAGCCCAAATACTGCTACCTCCAATCCCATCACTACCCTGGCTGTAGAGGCAAAAATGGTCTTTTCTTAGCACTTGTACAAAATCCCAGAGAGTTTCTTGTGAGAAAAATAAAGAATAAAGCTAGGCCAGTACTGAATAGAAAAAGATTTGCTCTGGTGGGCTTATCAGGGTTTCAAGTTGATTTGTTAACCTTCATGTAGAGCTGTTCTTAGGACTACTGGTTATATTATTAATCTTACTGATTTACTATGTTGCATAATACAGAACTATTTTAGAAAAAAAACCAGTTACTTTTCATAGTAAGTGATAAATTTTACCAGTTCCATTAGGGAATTGGTCTACCCTATCTAATGTCGTCACTGTAATTCTGAGGTGCTAGTAGTTAGAAATCACTGAAGACAATGTATCTTACATTTTCATTAATAACAAAGCTCCTATCTCAAAATCATGTCTTTAGAATAAAACATAAAACTGCTAGTTTAAGTGGTGGACTTACAGATTAATGATCACATTTCTCAGTGTGAAATGTCATTAATGAAATTTATCTACTGTTAGTGCTACAGCAAGGACTTAATTCAAGTAGTTTATTAACACTGCCCTTATCTTCTAATAGATAAAACCCAACATGTGTAGTATTTTTTCACATACAAAGAAGATAACTTAATTGCTGCCTACCATGTAAGCTGCTACAAAAGTTAGTTTCTTCTCTTAAAATTTGATTTGCTCTCCTTTTTCCAGACCTACATCCTCTCTGGGTTTCAGCTTTTAGAGACAGTACTTTCTGTAGTTTGGGTTTTTTTGGTGTCAAGTAGTCAGTGGCATTCAGCTGTGGTAGCTATTTCTTTTTTTTTTTTTTTAATGAGTGTAATTTTCAGCAGTTTTCATCATAAACTTAAAGCCAAACTTCTCCTAGAACAAACATTGAACACAAGGTATCTAGAGAAATCGAGCTTCAGTATTGTCTTTTAACTGTTAGCCATGAAAACACTCTGCTAATTACAGCTATACACCAAGGAATAATACTTAAGGAAAAGATCATAAGTATTGGGACTTAATCACAGAACTGTATTTTTGACGTGTTTCACTTGATGTGTTTGTTTCAAAAAAACCTGTTTCTATGTACATATAAAAAATTTAAAGAAAGTGAGGTTACAAACTCAGGTTTATATATTTATCACTGATGCAAGAGCCATACAAAAAGAACTTAGTTTTCTGATGTCTTTAGAGCAGAGTTACATCAGAATTGGGATAACTGGGTGAGGGTTTACCAGACCGCCTCCCTGAGCTAGTCATAGTCTGGATTCACCTCACTGGATACAGAAACAGCAGGTTCATGGAGCAGTGACTCTGTAACCAACTCCAACCCTGCAGCAATATGATGTTTACTTTGTATGGAGGTCTAGGATGTATTTCAATGACAAAATGGGAGTTGAAAGGAAAAAGCAAGTATTAATCATGTTTCTTATTTATCTGTTTTTCACTCTTACACACAAGTGTCACTTTCACCAAAGGGACCTTAGTCCATCCACACACAAGACTTCATAGAGGTTGTTGGAGGGAGGGAATAGAAAGGGAGAATAGCATAACTTTTATTCCATTGCTTTTCAGCCGGAAAAAAACAGACACAAAGATGCAAGCTGTCCTACTGATCAAAGTGCTGCTTCAAACTAAGCTCTAATAGGGCAGCTTGACAGCCAGAGGCACATCCTGACACCTTTCAGTAAGAAGCAGACATCAGAGCTGCACTTAAAATTTGTTCTGGAACTACCACTGTTACCAGCCCATGCTGCTGAAATGAGTTTCCCTTGTCACCATTTAATTCCATGAGATCAGTTCTGTAAGCAAGGATTTCATCCTACAGAAGCAGCAGCTCCAGCAGTTTGGGTTGTAAAGGAACAAAAACAACTGCTACACAAATCCAATGTCTTTTGAAAATATTTTATGTTAAAAATACAGAAAAATATTTCTTGTTCAAAGAGGAAAAATATACTGCATGATGACACTAGGTGTGTTCAGAAGGTGTCTGTGGCTCCACAACCAGTCACTGGAGTGATGACCCAATTTGGCAGCTAATGGTTCTTTTTCAACTTCTCAATCATTTATCAAAGCCAGAATCATACTGTGACAAAACAGAAAACATTATACCAGTGGATTACTGAAGCATGTGCAAGTAGGAACAGCTATAGCTTTCATGAGAGAACTGCATTTGATTCTGAAACAGAAAGTCAGGGCAACTATGCTATGTGCTTTGCTTATGAAGACAAGGACTGCAGAAGTAATACTGCAGTAGAAGGGCAGTATTTCTTCCATCTGTAGTAAGTGGCCTCATCACAGAACTCATCCCCTTGTAACTTTGCCAGATCAACTTTATTTTCTAAAACAGAACTTGTAAAATAAACTTGGCCCCCAAGCTGATTTCCATTCTACATGGGCCACTTTCTCTAGGTGCTAAAATCATGTAACTCTCTATACTGTACTTATAGTGGGTTTGAGATTAAGGAGCAGTCTTTTGAGTTTCCAAACAGCGTTTGATCAGAAAGAATAAAGGCACATAATAAGCCTGGAAATAGTTGTCAAAATATATTATTGAGGCTTAGCAGGATGCAAAAAGATAAGACACTTACGAATACCAGCAATTACATTAGCAGAATAGAGAAGATAAAAATAGCTGGCAGACAATTCCTTTGTTCCTTGGGAGCAATTTTTGAAACTAACCTGTAAAGGTACATGAAGAAACACAGCAGATGAAAGCCTAGTTTAATCATGGCTTCCTTCATGTGTGATTTCAGTTGTCCTCGGTTATGGATCTCTGTGGGATCAAACACCCCCATGTTTCCACTTGGCACCATAATGTACCTGAAAGTTTAAGAGAAAAAAAGAAAACAACAGAAGTATAGTCATCAAAATATGAGGGGAGTGTCAGGGGAAGGGGAGGAGGAGAGCTTGCACAGAAGCGACTTTCATCTAAAGAGCTGTTTCACAATTCAAGATAAGGGAGCTCTTCTTTAATTCTTTTTCAGTATATTGCACATATCTCTGCCACTACAACCCACAAAGAAAGAGTAAGAGGACAAGAAGTACTAAAAGCATCAGCCCAGCTTCTCATACATAAATGGGAGAGTTTCCAGGCAATAGCTGATTTCCATTTATTTTAATTGTTGTACGTGGTTACTTGGTGTTACAAAGTAAATGTAAACCCATAGTGGAAAGATGCATTAGATGAAAGGAACTGGAAAATAATTAATTTAGCTAAGAATTAGAGATTTATTTACAAAAAAACCCGCACACATAGATAATCACAAACTCCAGTGGTCAAAATCAGATGGCATAAGACAAAACAAAGGATCTGTGTATTATTCCCATCTTTGTCACGACCATCCTGTGTTATCTCAGCAGAGACACTGAGGCTGATGGGATGAGAGATTGGGCAGAACTGAAGAAGTGAAGTACTGCTGTCCAAAACCACATTAAGAACAAAAGTTGAGTGAAACAGAGGGAAATGTAAGAAAAAGGGAGAATAAAACCAGGAAAACAAATGTTTATGTCCTGTGAAAATTCAACAAGCAGCATGTTCTTTTGTCACAAGCATTTCTCAGGAGAGCACATGCAAGCACATGAAGTTCTCACACCAGCTGAGCTTAGTCTAGAACAGTATTATTATTTCACTTAAATGTCACACAGGCTCTACCTCCCTAGAATAATACTCTTTCTACACAGGAATTTAATTCCTGCTTTTACACCTGGAGAAAAAGCAAGATCTCAGAACAGAACACACTTTTATTTTCTTTATATACTCCAAGAACGGCACCACCTGTACTCCAACAGGTGCTCTCCCACCTCTAACAACATTCACTTCAATAACAGGAGGGGAAGAAAGGGAACAAGAAAGAAAGATGTTTTCTAGCAGCAGCAGAAGACCCCCCCCCCAAAAAAAAAAAAAATTAAGACCACAGTATTTGTCTTTCTTTCACAGAGACATTTAAAAACACTGCAGCATATTTGATTAATAATAAAGAAAAATGCATCCCATTAAAAACAGTTCATGTGAAATAACTGCAATTTGAAAGCCTCTTTGAAATGTGAAGTTTTAAGTGATTAGTCTGCTTTTAGTAGTATAACAAAAAATATTCCCCATTTACTGGAAACTTATTCCAAGAAAATGCATTACAAGGAAGGACACAAGTTTCCTGTACCAGTTTATACTAGAAATAGAGCTAGAGTGCATAGTTTTCTTGTATCTCTAGGATTTACTAATTTTGCTTTTTAAGAAGAGTTCTAACAGGTAAATGATGCAACGTAATTAAAGCTTGTGGAACTTGGGAGGTAGTTTTTCCAAGAGGCTCACAAGCTAGTACAGCTTATATTACACAACTAAGGAACTGTAGTCAAGGACACAGCAATGCTAGATGCTGACAAACACAACTCAAGCCAGTTGTCATACCCTGAACAGCAAAAAACTTCTGCAGCAAAACCACACAGAACAAGAAAACTGTCACCTTTAATGAACATACACATTAGTGCCTCCAGAATCTCCACTCAGAGGAAGCTGCTGCCACAGCGACAGGACATTTCCCTCTAGACTACAGAATTTTGTAAGGGATGTGGAAGTCTTGGGCAGAATTTTCACTGTATTTTAAAGAGGTTTTGGGGTTTTTTTTACTCCTTCAGTTTTAAGAGGGGTAAGATCTACTTAAAGACATGCCAAGAATCATATTATTCTGACCTATTGTCTCAAGCATGTCTATATAACAAAGAATCACAGAATCACAGAATGTTGGG